GAATAGTGGCAGACATCATTCACCAATGTCGACAATGACTGCTTGTAAATTCGAGTCAAAATTGCGAAAATCATTGCTTGCTAACATTAAATAGATACGCTATTTACACATTCCAGAAGCGGAAGTTTAAGATTTTGTGTTTATATTTGGTTCGAAGTTGAAGGAATTTCAAATATCCTAAGCGGAAAAAAGAAAAAAAACTGTTTTGCAATTATTCATTCAAAGATTCAGATTTCTGTCTTCAAAGATCAGAAATTGAAGAATTTGTTCAAAAGTAGTAGTAACTGACTCTGTATTTATGAACAAATTCTTCAACTTCTGATCTCTGAAGACAGGAATCTGAATCAGTGAATGAATAATTGAAAAAACATTCTATACAGTTACTTCTACTTTTAATTATATATATATATATATAGGAAAATGAAATAACTAACTACAAGCAACCATATACCCGCGTGCTGGCTTGTATACACAGGTAAGCAAATAAATAATTACCAAATTTTGCCAAGAGGTGTGAACATAATAGTGCTCGATGTGGATAGACAGATACAGGAAATATATATTAATAAATATACATATACCTACGTTTGGTGTGCGACTTAAGTTTTGTTGGTTACCCAACTCATCGGGCACGAGATATAGCTCATTGTGTTTGTTTTTTTTTTTTAAATATGAAGGGGATCATGGTAGGAACGCTGCTACATAGTTCAAAATTAAGATGGTGCGAAAATAGTACAAAGTCAATACTAAAGCTCAGGTGCAGAAAATGGGATGTAGTTAGGAGTCATTGGAAAAAAAAATTAAAAAATTTGAAATTCAAAATTTGAACGTGAGACGCATATAGTGGACGTTGTGAGGTTAAAGGGAGATAATCAGTGTGTGCTCTAAAGTAAATTAAGTCAAAAAGGAATTTAATCAGGATTACAATATTTTAGGAGAAATATCTTTCTATGCGTGCAACGCTTATTAAGTAAATTTAAATTGTTAATATTTTTGAGGATGTATTTATTTTAGTAAACATAAGTTTCATCTTTCGCTCTTCCCAGAGAATGGTTTGATTTTAGCGACAGATTCCCAATTTACAATAGGTGTGCAGCTATCAGTTTTGATAACCCAGTAGAACTTAGAGAGTGCTGTAGCATTTGCGTATTTTTTGTTGTTAAGGATCATTTTGTGAACGTAAAAAAGTTTTATCCAATTATTTGCAGTTGACCCAAAGCCTTTATACATGTATTTACCATTCATAGGGCAGACAGAACCTTGCATATATATATATATATATATATATATATATATATATATGGCTGACAAGATACTGCGGTTAAGTTCTTTATTTAATTTTTCCTGTGTTCTTATAATTCATTTCTTTTCTGGACATAAATTATGTAGAAATTATCCGAATGTTTTGTATGTTCGAGCGCGTTCGGATATTCTTTTGGCCATTAGCAACGATGATTTTATTTTTTACTTTTAACTGAACGTATGGATTTTTTTTATGTACGCAACTAAAGTGAAAGGAATGTTTTATTTTCCAAATACGGTCAGCCATTGTGGCCGTGTTCATACTTGATGTTATTGACTGTTGGCTTTTTCTTTTTTGTTAATAATGCTTTTATTATTTTTGGCCGCTTTTTACATGTGGATGAGGCTATTATATTTGGATTGTCAACGAGTATGCTACGGATGCAGTTTGGTAGGTCTCCATGTGTATTTAAATGAGACCTAATTGAGCTATGGTCAGAGAGTCTTCTTGTTAGGTATGTTGTAGTACATCCAATACAATTTATTTATGAATTTGGTTTGATGAAAAACACAATTCCGTAAGGGACATGTGAATTCATGAATAACATTGTTGCTCTGTAATTTTGGTCTTGCAGATGAGTTATTGTTTTTGACAATGAGGTTAGCAATTTGAAAAAAAAAGGTAGATAATTTATTTTTCTTGTTTTTTGCTAATTGGAGTTGTGTATTTGTTTATTATGTTACCAAGGGGAGATTCATCCTGCTTACATGTACCATGTATTTGACTTTGATAGAAAATTTTAATGTTATGTTTTTTATCTGTATGTTCAGTGTTACCTTGGGAATATATATATATATATATATATATATATATATATATATATATATATATTAATTGATTTAAAATATGTTTTTTTTTCGCTACACAGTTCTAACCATGCTTCAAAAATGGAAGCTAAAAGCCCCGAATTTAATTTTGTAATTAAATTAAAGACATTAGTTCCATTTCATCCTCAAGCTAATTTTGGAGTAACTTTTAAAATTACTGGGTTTTAAAGACACAGCTAAAATCATAATTCACGTTTCCAAGGTTACAGAGAAATCCACTTCTACTAGACAAGGGGTGTTTGCGTGTTCATTATGTCTGTATTTTGATGTGTCAGTTATTAGTTACGTTTTGGTAGGGGGTAGGGATGTATTTTTCAATGAAATCTAACACCCGTTAAATGCATGTCGTCTGCATTTTTTAAAAATTTTATTGTTAACGGCAAAAATTCTTACGGCATTTTTTTCTATTTGTATATTTAAAGATTTTTGTGGGGTGTTTAGGTTAGAATACTTTTTATTTAACTACGATTTGAAATATTTTCACTTTTAATTTTTAATTTTTAATATACTATATTTCTTTTAAGAACAATTAAATGTAATTAGAATCCCTTACAGTATGTAGAATTATTTCGCATCAAGTATAAGTATGTAAATTATTAGGTTACAAATTAAAAAAAAAATTATATTTAAATATTATTTAAGTTAAATTTATGACAATGACGGCAAAAATAGCTACTGAATTTCACTGATTTAGTAAACTTTTTTTTATATAAACCTAGTAATATATTGTTTCTCATGTTTAGCTTCCATTTTTGAAACATGGTTAGAACTGTGTAGCGAAAAACATATTTTAAATCAATTAATTTATAATATTAATGCTCTGTAAATGTACATTGAGCACTATTTTGTAAAAATAAAAATATCTATAAGAACACCGGATTATATATCTTTCTTTCTTTTATATATATATATATATATATATATATATATATATATATATATATATATATATATATATATATATTGTGATCTATATGGTAATTAGGAAAACCAGCGTTTGTTTCACGTTCTTAAGTTAAACGGACGACAAAATGAATTCTTGTGCGCTCTCATGACTCTCTCTCTCTCTCTCTCTCTCTCTCTCTATATATATATATATATATATATATATATATATATATATGACAAGTCAATTTACGAGATTGCGTGGTGCATGTTTGTGCAATGTAAGAATTTAATGTTCTTTGTCGATTGTTACTATTCTAGATACAATCTCACAAAAGAGATCAGAATTCAAAAGGATCATTATTTTTACACAGGGCAGTTTTTTGATAAATCTAAGTTATTTATTAGGATCTATAACTATTATATGCCGGTAGATTATAATTTTGATAGCCTTTTCGTCTTCTTTAAAATTACGATGCCTCTGATTACAATAAGACAATTTAATAGTTTTATTTTTGTTTATATCAAGTCAATTGCTTATATTATTAACAATCACTAGACAAGATTTAATTCTTACATTGGCCACTTATAAATCCCACTCTTTCGTAGTTTGACTTGTCATTGTCAAAATTTAGTGCAATCCGCGGGCACGCGCGCGCGAAGGCACACATACACAGAACGAAACCCTACAACAGCCATAATAAAAACTGCAACTTCTGCCAACAAAAAATGTTAGCAATAATGACGAATGAAAGGTCCGAAGTTATGAGCCTTTGCATCCATAAAAAATCCTTTTAACTTCATATAAGGCTGGATAAAAAATATGTACATTTCAATTAACACCACACCAGTTTACAATATCCCTTCTCTCCTCTACATCCTTCTTCTTCTCCACATCCTCCTTCCTTCCTTTCATACCCAACGTCGTGTGTTTGTTTATTTATTTTAAAAAATAATATGGCGATCATTAATATTTTTTTAAAATAAAAGTGTTGAGAAATCAATTGATACAAACCTCCTGACGATACCGAAAGATTGAAACCAAGGTAAGCAGACTGGACTGATCTAATTTTTTATATATATATATATATATATATATATATATATATATATATATATATATATATATATATTACGATTATATCAGGTTACTCAACGAGGGCTACTGGTGACATGTAATCCGATACTACCTGCCGCATGTCGCCGATTAAAGTGGTCTTATCACTGGCGAGGAGAGTAGCTAGACACTGAGCTAAACCTGTCAAAGGGCGGATAAATCTTCCAGCAGTGTCAACTGCCATCTATATAGGCATTCAGTGCAGTTATGAGACGGTATCGTTAGGTAAAGTTTTTCCTACACTGAATTCACCGGCCAAAATCAACGATTACGCGGGAAGTTTGGGTCATCGTCTGTCGTTTTAACTACGATAGGTCTACTTGACTACGCCAAGCTACGCATGAATGAAAACTGGCCCAGGTTTGTTAAAGGTACGTACCAGTTGCGCTCTATAGTCGGTCATGGGACAGATGATGATGATGATGATGATGATCTATTCTACTAACTATAATCTACATATCTAAAACGTAATATGTATCCATATTAACTGAAAAGCCAAAAACTAGAAAAGCCGTCCATACCCCCTCCCCTCCTCTTTGACTGACTAGCAGCGGCTATGCGATGGAGTATGACATCTATAAGGTGCTTGATTAATTGACTGATTCTTTTTTTTACGACTTATCAACCCACTATAAGTTATTTAAAGCCAGAAAATATTTTCCAATTGTAAGATTTTTTGGAGATAATAATCATTTAGTGATAAAGTTTTACTTGTTAAATCATTGCTGGAGGGGAGAAGAGGTGAACCCATACCTTTCCCAAGGGTATCTGCACATAAGTGAATACAACAAACCCGACTGGAATTAGAACTCTGCTCTCCGATTAACAATTCAAAGTAATTATCCATTACACCACTCGTATATCCAAACTTACAGCACCTGGTATTCCCAGGTGATCACCCATTTAGGTAATGACCAGGCTCGACTTTGCTTAACTTCGGTGATCGCACGGGACCGGTGTTACAATGTGATATGGCCGTAGACCTTGGGTTTATGAACTAAGGAAATATCTTACTATATACTGTATAGATTTTTTTTCTTTTTTTATTGGTGGGATAATAATGATTTAGTGATACTAGTATTATTATTTAACCCATAGCAGGGAGATGGAGAAGAGGTGCACCCATACCTTTCCCAAGGGTATTTGCACATAAGTGAATATAACAAACCCAACTGAAATTGGAACCCGGCTCTCCGATTAACAATTCATTATCCATTACACCAGCATCTACAAGCTTACAGCGCCTGGTATTCCCAAACAGTCACTCATCTAGTTATTAACCAGGCTCGACGTTGCTTGACTTCGGTGATCGTCCCGAGCACCGGTGTTTAAACATGTGCGTTGGAGTAATGGATAGCGGCTTGGATTGAGGAATCGGAGAGCCGAGTTCGAATTCCAGTCGAATCCATTACATTCACTTACGTGCTAACACCCTTGGGAAAGGTGTGAATCCTCTTTCTTCTCCCTCCAGCTATGGGTAAATAGCAGGACAGACTGGGTTCTATAGCCTTGGATGGCAACTGGTCTAGAAGAAGAAAAACTCTGAATTCAAACCTGCTCTTAGAGGAGGGTGAATGGAGTCTCTCTGAGCCTTGGTTGGCAATTCATTTAGTGATGGTGTCACGATAAAAAACACCCTTGATAGCCCTAGCGAAGCATCAAGAATTCAGCTATTTGACAAGATTATGAACTACACCAATCAAAGTATTAGTGAGTTCAATCTCGGCTGAGGCCGCATGATGAATATGTTGCATGACTAGATCTATCTAGATACGTTTCAGCGCCGTCTAGAACTGAGTTGGATTTGTTGGGCGTCACTTGAGTGAATTTATTGACATCTGCAACATATTTTATCCATGTTCAACGGAATTTAAATCTTTTGAACCTGGAGAACCTAGTGGAAAATTTGGAAGTCAGTCGACTGATCGTATAATCAGTTCACCTTACAGGATAATATTCGATAAATATGCAGGCCGACTGGCAAATGTACATCGTTTAAAATAAGAATAAAAATGGGGCGTCTGTTTCAAATACGAGTATCCACTACAGAGTCAAACATTATGTATTATTTAATAGTATGAGGTAATGGTAATAAATAAAATTAAATTTCACATATTCCGAGATAATTAAACGTGTATTTCTTAATTGTTAAGAACCTTAAAGGAGAGGAAATTGTGGAGAGCCGCCTTCGTCGGCACGAAGAAGGCAAATATTTCTTCATGCTTTATGTTCTATCAATGTTGTTTCTCTGGGTATGGAAAACAATATTTACAAAGTTTCCTCCCCTATGTGCCTTGCTCCTTCAGGGCGTAGGCGTTCATGGTTCTCCACCACTTCCTGTCCTTCATAGCTCTTAATAAATTTTGTTTTTAATAATAGCTAAAAATAGATGTTTTTACTAACTTGATATTTTACTCAATATTGTTGCAATGCTTATTTTATGTTTCACTAGTTCTATCATGAAGTTCATCACGCAGGTTACTTGCTCGAAGCTGATTCTGGCCTTGTGCCAGACTAAGCTAAACTTATTAATCAGTTTGTACTTCAGCTGTAGTGTTAAGATTAACAAGTTCATCACGCAGAACAATTTTGTCATGAAATCAATAGGTTCTCAGTATAGTCTTATGCCAGACTAAGAAAAATTGTTTTAATCGATAGGCCTGCTACAGTAAAACAATAGCCAGTCAGGTTGTTTCAGAAACCAGTCCGTTCGTATTGCGTGTGGGTGCTCAGTTAATTTAGCCATGTATCATTCTAAGGTAAGCTCAGTAGGCATTTCATTAATTTTACATTTTTCCCTGTTCTTTTTTTTTTTTTTTTTAACAAGCTTCGCCTCAAGATTTGTTTGGTCAATCTGGAGGGAAGGGTGTTGCGAGAAAAGAAAAAAAAAACTGTCAAAGTTTTCCCAGGTTTACAGAGATGTCAGTTTACATGAGATCGCAAGAGTGTAGGGTGGTTGATATATGGTTTGACCTCCCGAGGCTGACCGCACTTGAAAAATGATACCCAGGTCCGGAGGACGCCTAAAAGTGCAGCCATTTCTAGTATATGCAACAAAGATAACTGATTAGACTGACAAATGTGGTGCGAATGCAGGGGCTGATGACGTAAGCCTGTTAACAGCCACTATTCAGAATGCAACTCAGGAAGAGAGAAGATAGTGTTTATGGCGCCAATATGATAGGGTAAAGTAGCGTATTTCTTGCCATATAAAGTGCATCTCCTCTTCCTCTTACTCTCTCCATATATATATATATACATATATATATAGGATGCCCTTGCCGTTTTTCGAGGGTCAAACAGCACATTTCTTAGAACCCACTACCCGCACATATCATTTGTTCATGGCGGTGCAAGCTTGTGCAGTAGCAACCACGGAAGAGCCGAATACAGAATGAGGCATATTGTTGCACAGTATGCCACAAGGTCCCCAAACGACCCTCCGCAGGTTTTGAATTAATACAGTTGTCCTTCTAGACCCATGGTTATAGTACCTAGTCTGTCCTACTATTTATCCGTAGCTGGGGGGAAAAGAGACGGATATATAACTTTCACAAGCGTATTACCACAAATGTAATGAACTCGACATGAATTCGAACTCTGCCCTTAATCGAAGCTGCTATTTATTACTTTACCGTGATAACACACACACACACACACACACACACATATATATTTTGATACTTAAAAGTTCTCAGCTCAACCAATAAGTGAGACTTGAGTTCCTGTGTCAAAATTCGCAAATAATTTGTATGTAATGTTTCACGGTAGATATCAAAATAGTTACAAGTGTTTACCCACTGTTCAACGGTTAGCTGGGCATTAAGTCATTTTTCTCTACCAACTGTAAAGCGGTAGACAGGGATCAAAGGGTTAATAAAAACTGTTGTTTGGTCAGTGGATCTGATTTGGGAAAGTGCCTGAATCAATTATGAATACAGAACAACCTTGGTTCTCGACCATAATTTGTTCTGAAATTCTGTTCTAAAACCGAATTGTTCGAGAACCATATCATGTTTTCCATTACAATTAATGTAAAAGATATGAATTCGTTTCCAAGCACCAGATGAATGGCTATTTACATATTTACACTATATATTGAGATAAGTCTTTCTCAGGGGTTTCTTTTCTTTTTTCTTTCAGTTAAAAATCTGTCCAATGTTAATTGTTTTTACCTGCATTGTAATTTTTTTTTCTAAAATGAGACATGACATTGTCATTGAAAAGGTTTACTGTCCTATTTACTGACACTGTATCAGGGTGATATTTTTCCACAAAGATTTGCACCTCACACCCACTGAGCACAAATTTCTTTGATTAATGAGCTTGAGGCCTCCCCTTTTCTTTCCTCCTCCTCTTTAGGAGATATTACCTCAGACAAAATCTTTTGCTGTTTATTTTGAAGGTGTACGAGCTCTTCAGTGGTAAGATCAGTACGGTGCTCTTCCACCAGCTCCTCAATATCTTCACAGTCAACGACGAAGCCCATAGTTTTTCCTATAGAAAAATATCATCAACAATTGTTTTTCTCTCAACGTTTCTTTTTCCTTTACCATTGTAACTGCTAGCTTTCTTTGGAGCCATGACTGAGGACTAATGAAGAGAAAAAAAGGCACAGTACAATAAAATTTGAAAAGAAAAACACAGCACAACACACGAATATACACAACACGGCGGTCGACTCAGAAATGATTCCGTTCGGGTTAACTCGGTTCGGCTCAGCTCGGCCCAGCTCGGCTCAGCTCGGCAGTGTTGTTCGAGAACCAACATTTTGTTCGATAATCGAGGCATTTCCATCTCAAATTTTCTGTTCGAAAACCTATTTGTTGGACATGTGAGACATTCGAGAACCGAGGTTGCTATGTGTAGTATTGACTAGACATTCACCGTTCTATGAAAATTAACTCATCACAACCCAGTTTGAATTTCGCTCTCGTAAGGATTGTAATTATGGCATACATGTCATCAAAGAATTTCAGAAAATAATATACCTCTCCAATAGAAAACTATATACCTGCTTCCTTAACTTTACAGCAGCATATTACCACATATAAGATACTTCCTAGAAAATGTTTCTCAAGCTCTGACACCATTGTATGTCTGGATCAGACAGAAAAAAAATATATCAGTCCGCAAATTCTATCATGGCTGGTGAAGATCCAAATACTAAAATATTTCAAACCTCATCATGAGTACAATAAGAAAGAAATGAGAGACCCAGTGTACTTAATCTCAACCTAGACTATCCTTTGCGTATAAACAAGCACGGATGTGAAGAGATGGGCGCTGACTATTTAAGTATAATATACCACAAGCCCATCGAATCAACTAGTGGAAGACAATGATCTTGTGTATAGATGATGATAATGGCCATGTCATAGGTATTTATAATTGTAATGAGAATGATCTTGAATGAAAAATAAATATCCTTTACCAAGGGGCACAAGAAATCGGACTCCATATAAATATTTTCAAAAGAGAAACTATGATCTGGAAAAATCAGTAACAATTACCTGAACCTATTTTCCTAGAAAACTGTTTTAAGTGAAAGAATTTATAAATTACAACTAAAGGTAGGACTGGCTACTCGGTCAATAAATGCCGAATATTTCCTTCTAAGGAAACGGCTGATATAACCATTACCATTTATAACCATTTCTATCTCTCTCTCTTCGCACACACACACACACACACACACACACACACACACACACACACATATATATATATATATATATATATATATATATATATCTCTCTAACCACTCCTTATTACACTCCTTATTACACTCTCTGTTAAATTACACTACCCATCAATTTTCATTTCATTTTTCGTTCCATTTTTTGGAAGTGCTATCTGATGATCCGACGTCCTTTAAAAGGGCTCTGGTGAAATAAATTATTATAATGGAACCTTAAAGTGGTCTGTTTTTTATATATATATATATATATATATATATATATATATATATATATATATA